GGGATCATCTAAGCCATGCCAGAGTGCTCAAACAAGAAAAACTAGTGAGCATGCATAATGCATAATTTTAAATAGGGAAAACTATATGCTACATTTGTGCAGTATTTTGTCTTGCTCTGACAAATACTGAAATGTTTCTGACTTAAAAGTTCTTAAGTCTTTAGCCTGTAATTCTTTAGGTAAATTGTTCCATTCTTTTCCTGCTGCAGATTTAAATGTTGACTCGCCCATAGCAGATTTTACTTCAGGCAAGTGAATTTCTCGGGTATCTCTTAAGGACCTGCCATAAAGTTCTGATCTGAAATTCATATAGCTCTGAAGTTGCGTGGGACATCGGTGGTTAGTAACAATTTTAAACACTAGCTGAAGACGCATATATCGTCGCCTACTGGATAACGTAAGAAGAATAGAAATTATTTTCCTTAAAATATGTCCTGTATAAGCCGCTACAGTAGAACCTCGACTTAGCAAACCTCTTTGGTTCCTCGAAGTCCTCGGTATAACGAACGATACTCTTTAGCCCGGAAAAAGTTATAGTAAAATGTATGGGACAGAACCTCGATACAACGAAATCCTCTTTATAACGAACACAATCCAGAAGCCTAAACGTAGAATATACCCGATATAATGAACAAATGTTAGCACGTGACAATTAAAAAAAAATTGTTTCAAAAACTAAACTAGCGGACAGCACTCTGCGAACAGAAGTTGTAAAACTTCTCTATTCTCGAACGCGTTTCGTCTGACTATCCTCGATTTCTTCAGTGAGTCTTACAAGTTAACACTAAACTAAGACCGTGGCCCCTAAATATTATTCTCACCTTGCTCAAAAAAATTTATGAAAGTTTTCAAAACTTCACCTGTTCCTGTTCGATCATAAGTACAGCCAAGCCGATATGGTCATTGGCCCCCGTAATAGCCATCAACTATGGCTTATCAATACAGGCGTTTAATTCAATTTTTTTAAAATAATTCTTCATATTCACATTCAAGCATAAATGTTAATTACAGTAATCGTTCTGATCCCAAAATGCTAAGTAGCACAACGTCGCACCACAAAAAAAAAGAAAAGAAAAAGTAAAAAACAAGCAATTATTAACCATAGCTCGATATAACGAACATTTTGGTCGTTTTTCTGCAAATTCGTTAAATCGAGGTTTTCGATGTAATGAACCCTCGATATAACGAATCAATTTCCCTAGTCTCTTAGCACCTCGTTGAATCGAAGTTCCACCGCAATAAGCACGCCATTTCTGCAACGGTGGTTATTACATAAGCACTCTAAGACTGGGACAAACTCGCTCCATGCTCATACTTATCACACGTAGGATTAATCCCCTAAAACTTAGGTAGACATATGTTTCATAATTCGAAATGCTCATCATTGAAATGACCTCGAATGGTAAACTAAACATTGTTTTTCGATTCTCGTGTACTTTATTGTTTGACACAAAAGTCTTGAGGAAGGTGTGTATTCCAGGACGAATAAGAATTGAAAAGTAAAATTATCCAGGGTATACCAGAAGTAAGAGTTGTATTACATATATGCAGAGATTTGGCTCCATATTGTCTGTGATGGTGCCAACGCCGTTTAAAAAGCTCTGTGTAAGTTTTGATCTATTGGGGGTCATGATCAAACTTTTGAGAGAAACTGGGATTGCCACCCCTTATTACATTTCAGCAGGAATAAGATGGCAGCTCATTGTGGGAAGGTTGGGTTAATAATGCGAACATACTACAGCTCTTACGTTTTTTTTTTTTGTTTTTTTTTAACGACAGTGTTTTCCGAGGCATTGTATGAAACCTTTCCCCTTCACTCCCCTTCTCATTAATTCTTACTTTTGTATCTAATCTACCGCCTGTTCCAGTTATACTGCCATATTTCATCGACCCTGCCCAAATGTTTTTTTGTATTTTCTCTTGATTCTATGTATGTCTATACATCCCTGTAGCCTTGTATCTGTTCTTTATCAACGTTATACCATCGAATTCACGTAAACTTTTGTATCATCTTTACTCGCTCATCATGTTTTCCGGAGCTTGCACTTGAAAGTTATAGATTTCATGATTTAATAACACAAGAAAAGTCTCCATGGGTGGGTGTGCGCCAAATGCGAATTCTTTTTACTGGAGCACTGGCTAATCACAGAGGTAATTTAGAAGGGAATAATTTAGATTCCTCACTTCAATTTTCAGCCAAGTATGGTGACAAAGAACAAAGAATATTGCACCTCTCCTCCCCAAATAAAAAAAAAAACAACAACGGCATGTACTAACATACGGTATTTAATTATTAAAAGAGGCCATCACTTTTTTTAAAAACTTAAAATGTTAATTCACCAAGCAAGTTTCTTAATATCAGAACAAGTCCATTAAGCGACAATGTTCCGTGCCCGATTGGGTTGTCTTATTTAAATGTCCATTTCTTAATAACAATGAGAAAAGTCTTACCAAACCCGTTCAAGCTTTGAGATTGATTCCAAATGTAATATTGGCCTACCAAGCTGGTACTCAGACATGCACATGCGTACGAAGTGTCTGGCAATAAGGAAGGAGAAGAGCACTTTACTAACACGCACGTATTCTCCATCATTATGCCTCTAATAACCGGGGCAGACATTATGCCTCTAATAACCGGGGCAGACATTATGCCTCTAATAACCGGGGCAGACATTATGCCTCTAATAACCGAGGCAGACATTATGCCTCTAATAACCGGGGCAGACATTATGCCTCTAATAACCGGGGCAGACATTATGCCTCTAATAACCGGGGCAGACATTATGCCTCTAATAACCGGGGCAGACAGGCT